ACTTTATATTTATATTATACACTAATATTATATTTTCATATCACGGTGGGGGCCACAGGATATCGTCCTGCGGGCTGCAATTGGCCTGCGGGCCGCGAGAATGAGACCTCTGCCCTAAGATATTGGAACACTGCTATCATGTCATCCCAGTCCTTCTTTTCATTAAACTAGACATTACCCAATTCCAACAACTGTTCTTCATATGTTTTAGCCTTCAATACCCTAATCATCTTTGATGCTCTTCTTTACCTTCTTTCTAGAGCAGTGATGGCGAGCCTTTTTGTTGTGGTATGCCAAAAGTGCACGTGTGCGCAGTGGCAATGCCCCCCGCCGCCCCATGCATGTGCATGCAACACCCCCCCCCCAGCTGCCCCCTTACCTGCACTGTGCATACATGGCCCTCTGCAACCTTTGGAGGCCGGAAAACAGGCCCATTTTTGGGTCTCCAAATACCGGAAGTGACGAAACCGGAAGTACCAGAAATGATGAAACGGGCCTGTTTTTCGGCCTCCAAAGGCTGCGGAGGCTTCCCTCGAGCCTCTGGGAGACCGAAAAAGGCCTCAAACGGGCCGAAAACTACCTGGGAGGTGCATGCATGCATGGTGCAGGTAAGTTTGCCTGGGGCTCGCATTCCTCTGGCTCTGTGTGCCACAGGTTTGCCATCACGGTTCTAGAGTCTCAACATCTTTCTTATATCGTGGCAACCAAAACTGGATGCCGTATTCCAAGCGTGGCCTTACCAAGGCATTATAAAGTGGTATTAACACTTCACGTTATCTTGATTCTATCCCTCTGTTAATGCAGCCTAGGACTCCGTTGGCTTTTTCGGCAAGCTGCCGCACATTGCCGGCTCATATTTAAGTGATTGTCCACTGGGACTCCAAAATCCCACTCACAGTTGCTACTATTGAGCCAAGTACCACCCATATTATGTGCATTTGGTTTTTCTTGCCTAAACGCAGAACCTTACTTTTCTTACTATTGAATTTCATTTTGTTAGATAGGGCTTAGTGTTCAAGTCTGTCAAGATCCTTCTGTACCTTGAGCCTGTCTTTTGGACAAACAAGAAAGAAACTCAAGATTTCCCCATCTTCAAGTGGGGAAGGGGAAGCCCTGTCAGGTTTCCTGATATTTTCTGTGGTCTCTTCCTGGCCTGGCCTGCTTGGAAGGTCTGGCACTGGCTGACTTTATCGACAAATTGTTGGGCAGAAATATCTCATCTGTTTTCCTGCTAGGGCATTCTTTATCCTAAATAAGACAGCTGGTTGACAGCCAACTAACTCAGGGTAGAGAAATAAGAGTCAAATGACAATAAATATTGTCATTTGACAGTAAATGGTGTCACTCCATTGATTTTGGATCTGGATCTTTGAAACAAAACTCAAAATGTTTCCATTTTCAGCATCTGATGCCACTGCTCTTTTTGTTCAGGGAATAGCAAGAGATAATAACTGATGTTGTCAGCTTTCAGGAATACACTGGATGTTTAAATAATGCCACTGGCAGCCTTGGAAGGAAATTACAGGAGTGTCAGAATTGAACAGCAACTTGACAAAATGGAATGAAACAGCCAATTCATTATATATTAAGCTGTTCATAGTATAATGAAAGGCTTGATAACATCAGGATGGCTGAAAAAGTACATTTTAGTGCCAGCATCTTCCAGAAGGCCTGGTTTGTAATAGGAGCTAGAAAAATCAGAATGAGAATTGGAAATTACCCGGTTGTAAACCAAAGTGAATATTTATTGCGGTCCATTTATTTGTGGACTTCAACTCCCAGAATTCCCCAGCGAGCATGGCAGCTGGGGGAATTCTGGGAGTTGAAGTCCCCAGGCCTTAAAGTTGCCAAGGTTGGAACCCCTGATCTATAGGCTTAAATAGTGTATCCATGGTGAGCAAGAGTGGCTTTTTCTGTAAATGAGGAATTTAACAGCACTTACAAAAATATCCACAATAGAAAGGGGTTGTTCACCTATGGTTGGAATCTTAAATTATGATAATATTGCCTGTATATTTTAGCACCGTGCAAGCTGAACGTGAGAGATTCAAGATTATTTCGCAAAGTGCTCATGACTAAAGTATGGAGTTCTGTGTCGGGATCCCCAAACTCTGGGCCACATTTGTAACCGGGCCATGGAAATGGGCGAGAGCACGGATGCATCCCCCACAAGCAGCGGCAGGCATGAGCAGCAAGCATGCGTGCATGTTGCCCGTGAAGATGGAGTTGTGTGCACGTGCTTGCCAGTCACTCGTGCAAAACCATCCCTTTCCCCCTCCTTCCCCACTGGTTTGCAAGGAAAGGTTGGGGAATTCTGTTCTATACTGTGAAATATCTGATGGCAATCAAACTGGGTGGCTTTAAAAAGAGACTGGACAAGATTGGAGGAGGCTACAATCTGGGTACACAGATTACAGGACTCACGACCATATTTGATCTGACCTCCTTGAATAGAGGTAGTGTGTTACTGAATGGTGGAGGGGATACGAATGAGAGCAGCATTCTTCAAACGTGGCAACATTAAGATGGGTGGACTTCAAACCCCAGAATTCTCTAGCCATGCTCCTAGCAAGTCCGTACAGTTCAGGAGTGAGATTCTACCGGTTCGGACCGGTTCTAAAGAACTGGTTGTTATGATTCTGCACAGTTCAGAGAACCGGCAAATCGTGCCCCCGGCTGGCCCTACCTCTCCCCGCCCACTCGCCCCTCCCCATCAGTCCTTATCGCGCATGCCCGACATGGCTGACTGTGTTCTCCCCTTCCCAGTCACTCCTTAAGGTATTTCTTTTCCCCCCTCCTGACGAGCAGCTGTTCCTATGATCAGCTGTGCCAGGATCCCCCTCGCTGTCTTACTGCTTTTACCAGGAGTCTTCCCTGAGGCCCAGGAAGGCAAAAAATGGAGGAGGAGCGCAGTGTGCGCGCACACACACACACACACACACACACCTGCACTCTGCATTTTTCCTTCCTGGGCCCCAAGAAAGCCCTCTAAGAGCAAAACACCCCCCCTGGAGGCTTCCCTGAGACTCAGAAGGCCCCCCAAACGGAGCTTGGGGGTAGCTGTGTGCCTCCCCGGGCTCCTTTTTTTTGCCTTCCTGGGCCCCAGGGAAGCCTTCTGGGAGTAAAAACGCCCTCCAGGAAGCTCCCCTGAGGCCCAGAAGGCCCCCCAAAACAGGGGGGGATGTGCAAAAAAAAAGAAGCTACACCCACCCAGTCACATGGCCACGCCCACCTAGCCACACCCACAGAACTGGTTTTTAAAAAATTTGAATCCCACCCCTGATACAGTTAGTCCTTCACTTATAACCATTTTTTAATGGCGGTTCAAAGTTGCAGCAAGAATAAAACAACAATTTACAACCTGTTCTTGCAATTATGACTGTCGCACACACACCCCGCCCCATGGTCACATGATCCCAATTCAAGCCCTTGGCAACCAGCTTGCACTTACAACCGGTTGTAGCCTCTTCCGGTGGTCATGTGATCATGATTTGCAACCTTCCCAACTGGTTTCCTGCAAAATATATCAATTGGGAAAGCTGGTTTCGTTTATCAACCACATGGTTCATTTAATGAGCATAGTGACTTTCTTTATGACCATAGTAAAATGGAGTAAAATTGGATTGTCGACTTTACGACCACACTGGCTTAAGGCAGAAATTCCAGTTCCAATTGTGATCATAATTTGAGACTGCCTGTACATCTTAAAGTTGCCAAATTTGAAAAACACTGAATTAAGAAGTAGTGTGGTGTACAGGTAGTCCTCAACTTACAACAGTTCATTTAGTGACCATTCAAAGTTGCAACAACCACTGAAAAAAACTGACTTATGACCGTTTCTCATAGTTACGACCTTTGCAGCATCCCCATGGTCACGTGATTGAAATTCAGGTGTTTGGCAACTGGTTCATATTTATGACGATTGCTGTGTACTAGGGGTCATGTCATCATTATCTTTTGCAGTCTTCTGACAAGCAAAGTCAATGGAGAAGCCAGATTCACTTAACAACTGTCCTACTAACTTAACGACTTCAGTGATTCACTTAACAACTGTGCCAAGACAGGTCGTAAAATGGGGCAAAGCTCACTTAACAAATGCCTCATTTAATAACAGAAATGTTGGGCTCAATTGTGGTCGTATGTCAAGGACTACCTGTATTTGACCTGCTCACGGTCTTTGGCTGACAGTTGTTAAAAAGAATGCAACCTATGCAGACATTTGATCTGATTTGGGAGAGATCTTGTGTTTTTTTTTTTCCCCCTGGTGTCTCTCTCTAACAAAAATGTGCAGGAGAAACCTAAATAGTAAGCAAATATTGAACTACTGGGTCAAAATGACGTGGGAAGCAAGTGAAATCCTGAGAATGCTAATTGAAGGCAATATAATAAGTATTGGGGGAACGTTGTGTTAATCAGAATAGAGCTGGAAGGGACTTCGGAGGTCTTCTAGTCCAACCCTCAAGCAGGAGATCCTATATCATTTTAGATAGGTGGCTGTTCAGCCTCTTCTTAAAAACCTCCAGTGATGAAGTCCCTACAACTTCTGGAGGCAAGCAAGCTGTTCCACTGGTTATTTGTTCTTCCTATTAGGAAGTTTCACCTTAATTCCAGGTTGCTTCTCTCCTTGATTAGTTTCCATCGATGGTTTCTTCTCCCGCCTTCAGGTGCTCCTTGGAAAATAGGTTGACCTTCTCTTCTTGGGGGCAGCCCCTCAAATACTGGAATACTGCAGTCATCTTCTCCCCTAGTCCTTGTTTTCTTTAGACTGGCCAAACTTCCATAGTTTTCGTGGGCCAAACCTCAAGAATGAAAGTCCTATTTGTTCTGATAGGAGCAAATTCGGCAGAGTTTGGGTGTGTACGAAGAGAACACACACACACACACACAAAGCAATTTAAAGGAAGGGCTGTTAAGACTCAACTATTTAAACAGCCCCCTCCCACCCTTCCTCTGAAGTTTAATTGCAGCTGCCTTCTTCTTGGGTTACTTTATTTTTTTAGGTCAGGATTGCTTGCCTAATCTCACTGGGACAGGCAGCCGTAGACAAACAGCTTCTATAATCTTCACTTGGATTGCCCCAGCTTCAAGTAACAAGAGCTGCTTTGTTGATTTTTCAAACTACGGAGCGATTTATGACGGATTCCGCTTTGGAGAAATCGGTTGAAAAAAATATCTCGAGCTCTCTCAGTACAAAGCTGCCTTCAAGCAAGGAAGGTATGTATATTTTACTTTATTAAAAAAAAAAACTCTTATGCTTCTTTCATATTTTGTTTCTTCAGCTTGAAGGTGACTGTCTTCTGGGAGAGGAAGGAATTATTATTGTATGGTACAGGTAGCCTTCGACGTACACCACTATCCAGCCCAAACTCTATCTTGCTAAGCAAGACATTTGTTAAGTGAGTTTTGCCTCATTTTACGACCTTTCCTTTACTTTGTGAAGTAAATAGTGATAGCACTTAGGCTTATATACCTCTTTATAGTGCTCTAAGTGGTTTACAGGGTCAGCCTATCGCCCCCAGCAATCTGGGTCCTCATTTTACCCACCTCGGAAGGATGGAAGGCTGAGTCAACCTTGAGCCTGGTGGGATTCGAACTGCAAATTGCAGTAGGAGTAGTTTGCAGTACTGCATTCTAACCACTGCACCACCGAGGCTCCTGCAGTTGTTAATTTAGTTATATGGTTGTGAAGTGAATCTGGATTCCCCATTGACTTTGTTTGTCAGAAGGTCACAAAAGTGGATATCACATTATCTCAGGACACTGCAACCATCGTAAATATGAGTCAGTTGCCAAGTATCTGCATTTTGATTGTGTGACCGTGGGTATGCTGCGCTTGTAAGTGTGAAAATTGGTCGTAAGTCACTTTTTTCGATGACATCGTAACTTTGAATGGTCACTAAATGAACTGCTATAAACCTAGGACTTCCTGCATGCATGAAATTATTATTTGAGAAATGTCTTCATATAGTCTACCCTGTTATGGAGTCCACAGTACAGGGGAATTAAATTAACAGCTAATAGTTTAACAGCCCATAGGCTGGTCTTTCATTTCTGCAGGGCATACAACTCTCACCCAAATTTATTTATTTTTTAAAAAAATATTTTTTAATATTTGTTTTTAAAAAATATTTTTTAAAAACAAACATACAAAACATAAAAACATAAAACCATCTTCCATTTTATGTACATACAGTCTGTCAGTTGGTTCTTTTGTGTTATCCTTTTGTAGTCATTTACTCACAATTTATATCTGTCTTCACATTGTCAAGCTAACATATGCTTATATATTTATCAGTTATTAATCATCCATGACTAAACTATTTATTCCATCATTTTATACAAGATGTTCCAAGTTTTGTCTTAAAATTTGTGTTATACTTTCAACCAGTGATTATATATATCTATACAATGTTTTATATCAATCTATTAAATTTCTATCACAAAATTATCTAGTCTATTATGTTACCATGCCTTTTTATCCAACCATTGATAAAACAAATCCCATATCATATAAAATTGCTTGTCTTCTTGTTCTCTAATTTCAAATGTCAGTTTACTCATTTCAGCACAGTCCATAATTTTTTTCATAACTTCCTCCCGCATAGGTATTTTGTCATTTTTCCAGTTCTTTGCAAATACAATTCTAGCCGCTGTTAAAACATTAACAATCAAATATTTCAGTTCTTTATTGTATATGTCCAGTATGACTCCCAATAAAAAGATCTCTAGTTTAAAGTCTATATGTTGTTTTATCATTTTTTCCAACCATGCGTGTATTTTAGTCCAATATTTCTTTGCGTCCGAGCATGTCCATCACATATGGTAATATGAACCAGGTGTCTGATGACATTTCCAGCATTTATCCGATTTATTCTTAAACATTCTCGCAAGTCTCGTCAGGGGTAGGTGCCACCTGTAAAACATCTTATACAAATTTTCTTTATATGCAGTTGACATTGTCATTTTATAATTCTGAGACCACAATTTTTGCCATTTTTCTAAATCAATCCCATATCCAAAATTCATTTCTTTAACTTGTTCCTCCTCCAATTTAAATTCTAATAGATGTCCATAAAGTTTTTTAATTGCCTTTTCATCAGTACCCATCAAAATTTTATCTAAGTCAGTCAACTTATCATAAATACCTTCTGCCTGAGTTTTTATCAAACCTAGATTGTATTTGCAAATATGAAAAACAATTCATTTTTACACCTTGTTCTTCCAACGCTTGCATAGATTTAAGTTCACCCTTTCCATTCAATATCTCCTCATATCTGTTTGTTCCTTTTTATATATGATTGGATTAAAAAAAGCTTCAACAGTTGGTATCCATGTTGGAATTTTTAAGTAATATTGTCTTTTTATCTTCTTCCAGTTCAAAAACAATGCCTCACGGATATAATGTCTTCTAAAATACCCCTGTGTTTTAGTTCCTTTATACCAGAGAAAGGCATGCCATCCCAGCAGCAAGTCATGGCCTTCTAAAGTCAATAATCTACTGTTCCTTAGCGTTAGCCATTCCTTTACCCACATCAAACTTGTCGCCTGGTAATACAGCTCCCAATTGGGCAAGGCAAACCCTCCTCTTATTCTTGCATCTTGTAACAGTTTTAATTTTATTCTTGCTTTTTTACCCTGCCAAATATATTTCAACACAATTCTATTTAAATCTTCAAAAAACTCTTTCTCTAATCGAATAGGAATTGTCTGGAATAAATATAAAACTCTAGGCAATATATTCATCTTAATTGTAGATATTCTTCCAATCAGTGATAGTTGCAATTTTTCCCATTTCATCAAGTCTATCACAATCTGCTGTTTGAGTTTAACATGGTTATCTTCCTTCAGGGTACTACATCTTGGTGTAATATGAATCCCTAAATATTTAACCTTGTTCGTGACCTGTATTTTTAAAGTTTCTTCCAACTCTTCTTTCGTCTTGTTAACATATTCTTGGTTAATATCTTTGTTTTGTCTTTGTTTATTCTCAAACCTGCTAGTTTTCCATATTTATTTATTTATTTATTTATCTATTTATTTATTCTATTCTATTTATTCTATTTTTTCTATTAATTTGGGTACCGTTTCCAATGGGTCTTCTAATATAACTACCAGGACATCTGCAAAAGCTTACAATTTATACTTCTCCTTTTTAATTTTCATTCCTTTTATTTCTTTTTCTTCTCTGATGTTCCTGTTCAACACTTCCAATGTTAACACAAACAGCAGAGGTGACAATGGACAGCCTTGCCTTGTCCCTTTTCTTATATCTATGGATTCTGTTAATTCTCCATTCACCATCACCTTTGCAGTTTGTTCATGATATATTGTTTCAATGGTGTTGGGTATATTGATACACCAACTAGGTTTGGGTGAATAAATATATAAACCTAGGTTTAAGTGTTTGTAGCTTTAAGCACCAAACTGCAATGTAATTAGATAATTAAGGGTGCGGTTGCAAGCAGCAATAAGAGGCAGTGAGAGAAACGTAACACCTGGTCGCTGGTCTCTCTGCTGCCTGCTGCCTGCTGTTTACTCCTGTTTGAGACGTCTGCTTGTTATTGCTTGTTGGCTACTGTGCTGAGCAAAAGGACTGTTTACTTGGTGAGCTGATATCCTGTGTATACTCAGCGTTGTCTTCGAGAGAAAGGTATCGGAAGGAGAAGATTTACAAGCAGATAAAGACATTGTACTGACTAGTTAATGGACTAGGTTACTGGATGGATATATTGTGTATGACATATGGACTGATTGACAATGCTTAAACTCTAAATGAATTAAATAACTATTTAAAACTATAAACAGTGTTTTTGTCTCCAGTGTGTGTATACTCTTGGGCCCAGCCTCTCTCTCATTTGGCTGCCTGGCCTGACTGCTGCTGTGCACTCTGCTTGGGGGTTTGTCCCCAATCACTAACATTGGTTATGGGCCCAGTGAGCACAGTCTAACTAACCAGGATATAGCAGTGAGAGTTTTGGTGTGAGTTGCACATTACTGTAAAAACAAATTGTTTGTCGAATAGTTATTTATCTGAAGAGCAATGGCACAAGTAAATTTGCCAAGTCTGTCCATGATGTCCAGACTAGATGGAACAAACTATATTTCATGGTCAATGAAATGTAGTTTACTTCTACGAAGAGAAGGTTTGTGGGACATAATAACAAACCCACCAGATGTATCTAACTTAGATCCTACTGTTGAAGAGGATGCCAAAAAGATACAAGACTATGAACGAAAGAATGAGCAGGCTTTATGCATCATAGGACTGACTCTCTCTGACCAGCAACTCATTCATATCCGTGGAGAGGAAAATGCTGCTAACTGCTGGGAGAATCTCAAGAAGATTTATGTTCGAGACAGTGTAGGAGCTCATATCAATCTTACACGGAAGGCTGTTTAGAACACATCTTGAGAAGAATGGAGACATGTTAACTCATTTAAACTATATGAAAAGCATTTTTCAGGAATTACAAGAAAAAGAGCTTATATTTAATGAGTTGCAACAAGTATACATCATACTGTCTTCATTGGATCGAAGCTATGATGATTTTGTGACTGCTTTAGAGGTATTGCCAAAAGACAGTTTATCAGTAACTGAGATTACCGGCAGGCTATTAGAAGAAGCCAGAAGAAGGTTTGAACGTGACCAGCTGAGAGAAGATAAACCTAATAAAGAAGAGAAATTATCTTCAAAGCTTGAAAGAAACCAAATTAGTAAAGTAAAGCACCCGGAAGAAGAGAATTTATCTTCGACGGCATACACAATTAAAAAGTGTTTTAATTGTGGAGGCAGAGGACATTTGGCAAGATTCTGCAGAAAAGGAAAAAGCCAGAATGTAAAAAAGCCAAAGAAATCCTTTGAACTAGCCATGTTTAGCAACTGTGATGTGAAGAATGATTTATGGGTGGTGGACAGTGGTGCATCCCACTGCATCACGAGAGATAAGACAAAGTTTATAAAAATGTCTACAAGCTCTCAACATATATCACTCGCGAATGGCTGGCACCTCAGGGCCAAGGGTGAAGGTATTGCATATTGTCCATGCTTAAACCAGAATATAAAAATGTTGTATGTACCACAGTTAAAGATGAACTTACTTTCTGTAAGAGTATTAGATACTAGGTTATGTAATTACATTTAAGAATAATAAGTGCATACTTGATAAAGATAACAAAAGGGTAACTGCAGCTTTAAATGGAACATTGTATGTGTTACATGATAGTAAGAAAGGGGAGGCACAGACTGTATTTAACAATATCAAGCCTCATAATGAATGTATCCATTTATTGCATAGGCGTTTGGGGCATGTAAATTTTAAAATGCTAAAACGTACAGTAGAGTTATCTGATGGTATAAGGTTAAAACCTTGTGATAAATATTTGCGTTGTAATGTCTGCTGTGAAGATAAGAGTAAAATATTGCCTGCAAATAGGCTAAATGGTTTCAAAACTAAAGAACCTTTAGAAGTAGTATTTGCAGACATTATAGGTCCAAAGAAACCCAGTATGGGAGGTGCTCGATATATACTGAGCATTATGGACCATTACTCTAGATATGGGTTTTGCTACCTAATGAAAAGCAAAACTGAAACATATCAACATTTCTTCAACTGGTTAAAATTTGCAGAAAGAAAGACTAAACGGAAACTGATAACCCTGGTGACAGATAATGGTACGGAATTTGTTAATAGCAAATTCCAGAATAGATTAAAGGTAGCTGGAATAGAGCACAAGAAATCTGCACCATACAGACCACAACACAACGCATTTATTGAAACAAGAGGCCAAACACTACAGGCAATGGTTAGAACGATGTTAACTGATTCTGGATTACCTGATTCTGTGTGGGGGGAGGCCATAATGTGTGCTAATAACATATTGAACAACGTTGTTAACACAACTACTGGTGAAATACCATTCACCATGTGGCATGGCAGGAAGCCTGATCTGAGTTACCTGCACACATTTGGTGCACCAGCATGGGTGCATATCCCTACACAACTCAGGCGTAAAGGGCAACACAGAGCTAAACAATTTTTCTTCGTTGGTTACGAAGCAAACCATAGGGCATATAGATTTTGGGAGAAAGGCACATCTAAGGTGTTATGTAGTGCCAATGCCCAATTTCTAGAGCACGTAGGATGGGATAAGTTAGAACAGGATAACAATAAAGAAGTGATTATTGAATCCTATAGAAATCCCATTAATTATCCCTGTAACTTTAAAAATAAAGTAAAGAGGGAAATACAGGAAGAAATTGTGCCCATAGAAGAAGAAATAGAACCAATAGCTGAGCAAGATGAGGAACATGAACAGGTAGTAACTCAAAAAAGTCCTCATACAAGCCCTGTAATTCCCAGAAGAACTACACGAATATCTAGACCGCCTGATAGATACCAGGCTAACACAGTGTGCCAGGTTAATAGAGTTCCATATACTGTGGATGAAATTAAAAGGTATCCTTCTAAAGATAAGGAAAGTTGGTATGCAGCAATGAATAAGGAATTGAAATCCTTGAAGGATATGAAAGTATATGAGAATGCGAGATTACCTGTTGATATAAAACCCATTGGCTGCAAAATGGATTTTTAAGATAAAAACTGATAAAGATGGAAATATAATCCATAAGGCAAGATTAGTAGCCCAAGGTTTTAGACAAAGTGCCAATGACTATGATGAGGTATTTGCACCTAGTCTTAAAGCAGCAACATTAAGGGCAGCCTTAGTGTGGGCAGCAAGCAAGAAATATATAGTTAACCATCTAGATGTGGAAACTGCTTACTTGCATGCTCCACTAAGACATACTGTATATATGAAAAAACCTATTGGATTTAAAGGTGAAAATAATAATGATTGTTGGTTGTTAAAGAAGAGCCTCTATGGTCTTAAACAATCTGGCTATGAATGGAACCAGTATATTGTGAAGGAGCTAAACAATATAGGGTTTAAAGCTGGTTTAGCCGATCCATGTCTATTTAAAAGGGAGACAAATGGGAAAATATCATTATTATTATTGTTCACTGATGATATTGCAGAAACTAATGATGAAGCAAATAAAATAATAGCATCATTAGCTAAGAAAATAAAAATCAAGCAATTAGGGGAGATAAAGAAATATCTAGGTTTGAATATACTGAAAACACAGAAAGGTTTTAAGATATCTCAGGAAGATAAGATATCTAAATTGCTAATAGATTATAAGATGGAACTTTGTAAGCCTGCAAAGACTCCAATGAGTCAGGATATTTGCAAAATGGATGCTCAAAGTCCCAAGTTTGATAAGGCAATATATCAATCTTTGATTGGTAGCTTATCATACATTAGCAATTGGTCAAGGCCAGATATAGCTTATAGTATTAATCAACTGGCACGACATAATAATGATCCGCTTCAATGTCATTGGATAGCATTGAAGAGAATCTTAAGATATCTTAAAGGAACATTACACCATGCACTGTATCTAGAACCAAAAGGTGATCTCATACTGAGTGCTTATGCAGATGCTAGTTTTGCATCAGAAAGAGACACAAGAAAGTCGACTTCAGGAACAGCCATAATGCTGGGTAATACATTAATAGGTTGGAAGTCAATTAGACAACAGCATATAAGTTTGTCTACTATGGAGGCAGAATTCTCCTGTTTATCGTTATTATGTACTGAATTAATTATGTATAAACAAATGATGAATGATATGGGTATAACTGTAAATTATCCTATAATTGTACATGAAGATAATCAGGCAGCAATTCAAATGGCCACAAATATTGCAGTAAAAACTAGGAGCAAGCATACAGATTTAAGGTATCTAAACGTTAGACAATCTGTAAAGAGTAAAATGATACAGCTGGAATACTGCATGTCGGAGGACAATATAGCTGATAATTTTACTAAAGCCCAAGGTGCCATTAAGCACCTAGAGAGTTGTGAAAAATATGGGTTTAGAATGTAAAGGTATTATATATTTATATCACCCAAAAGGGGAGAATGTTGGGTATATTGATACACCAACTAGTTTGGGTGAATAAATATACAAACCTAGGTTTAAGTGTTTGTAGCTTTAAGCACCAAACTGCAATGTAATTAGATAATTAAGGGTGCGGTTGCAAGCAGCAATAAGAGGCAGTGAGAGAAACGTAACACCTGGTCGCTGGTCTCTCTGCTGTCTGCTGCCTGCTGTTTACTCCTGTTTGAGACGTCTGCTTGTTATTGCTTGTTGGCTACTGTGCTGAACAAAAGGACTGTTTACTTGGTGAGCTGATATCCTGTGTATACTCAGCGTTGTCTTCGAGAGAAAGGTATCGGAAGGAGAAGATTTACAAGCAGATAAAGACATTGTACTGACTAGTTAATGGACTAGGTTACTGGATGGATATATTGTGTATGACATATGGACTGATTGACAATGCTTAAACTCTAAATGAATTAAATAACTATTTAAAACTACAAACAGTGTTTTTGTCTCCAGTGTGTGTATACTCTTGGGCCCAGCCTCTCTCTCATTTGGCTGCCTGGCCTGACTGCTGCTGTGCACTCTGCTTGGGGGTTTGTCCCCAATCACTAACAAATGGCTTGGATAAATTTCTTACCAAAGCCCCATTTGTATCAGTTGCAGTAAAATGAATTGCCAGCTCACATTTGCAAATATGAAAACCAATCCATTTTTACACCTTGTTCTTCCAACACACATTGTCAGAGGCTTTTTGAGCATCTAGAAACATCAAGGCCATTTGCTTCTCAGGGTGTGCTTCATAATATTCCAGAGTATCCAAGATGATTCTCACATTGTCTTTGATTTCTCTCTTTGGCAGAAATCCATTTTGATCAGTATGAATAAAATTATTTAAGTATCTTTTTAGTCTTTCTGCCAAAATTGAAGCGAAAATTTTATAGTCTGAGTTCAGTAAAGATATAGGTCTATAATTTTTAACTTGCTGCAGGTCTAACTCTCACCCAAATTTCTCTTCTCCCCTTGGCAGAGATTGATTTAAAGGGCTTTATTTAATAAAGGGCATGGGTAGGATTCCCAGTGCTTGATTTAGGAGGAAGACCTGTTGTGTGTGCAACTAGTCCTCAACATACAAATAGTGATTGTTCGAAGTTCTGACATAGCAATAGCAGTAGCACTTAGACTTATTGTGATGACCCAGGCCGTGACACAAAAATAACAAAGTCACAAAAGTAGAATACATTCCCTTTAATGTCTCCAACTTGGCCCCAATGCCCAATTATCCTCGGCTGGATATCAGACTCTTCAAAAAACAGTCTACGAAGGGAAAAAATGCAGTCCAAACCCAAAGTAAAGATAATTAGAAATAAAAAAACCAACACAAACCACACTGAAGTAATTAACACAGCAGGTCAGGGTGATAAATTGCAAACTTTCAAAGGATAACGCAGCAACCACAGTTAGGAGGATGCCAAAACCCAGATAAGCCTTGACCAAGATAATGCACGCTTTGCTTCCAGCAAGGAGCTGTTATGCAAACGCCCTACTTATATCCTGTTCTCCCAGCTGCAACTATTGAAAGGGATCAGGGCCGTTTTCTCTTTTTCTTTTCCATGCATAGGATGGGGGGGCCCCAGCAGGCATTGCTTCTGGGTGCTGGCGCGCACAAACAAGTGCACGAGCACAATTATCGGCACGGGAGCCGAAAAAGGTTTGCCACTGCTGACCTAACAGATTCCTACCAGACATTCTCCCTTGTGCTGCCTTAATGGATGAAGGCCTAAAGCAAGGGTCCCCAAACTTGGCAACTTTAAGACTTGTGGACTTCAACTCCCAGAATTCTTCCTCCAGTCATATTAGCTCGGAAGTTCTGGGAGTTGAAGTCCACAAGTCTTAAAGTTGCCAAGTTTGGAGACTTCTGACGAAAAGGAACATTTGCAATCTGACAGCTGTCCATTCTAAATCCCTCATAGCCAGAAATAAACTAGAATGAAAAATGGGATACAGAAGGGATGGGACAATTCTCCGGTCAACTTTCTTCTTGCAAAACAAGTCACAGTAAAGAAGTGGATGGTCAAAAAAGAACTACATAACCTGTAGTGTGTTAGGTGGCGTCGATGAATAGGTTTCTATATATCTTTTTATAAATGGGATGGGGAAATCTCAAAGTACATGTGTGTCTCCTCTGTTTTGGAAACTGTGTAGAACATGGGTGTCAAACTAGATTTCATTGAGGCTTGTGTTTGACCTGGGGGGGGTTGGGGGCATGGCCAGGCAGAGTGGCCAACTCAACGTCACTTGTCGAGGCTCTGTTTTCAGCCGCAACAGCCTCCTGCAGCCCTCTGCCAGCGAAAATGGAGCCTGGGGAGGCCACACCAGGAGTGGTATCCAGCAGGTTCTGACCGGTTCTGGAGAACCGGTAGCAGAAATTTTGAATAGTTCAGAGAACCAGCAAATACCACTTTGGACTGGCTCCGCCCCCATCTATTCTCTGCCTCCCATTGAGTCCCAGCTGATTGGCTGGGTCTCCTTTGGTTGCCCTGCACAGGAGAACGGAGCTGGAAAGCAGGTTAGTGGGGTGGGGAGGGAATGGGATTTTGCAGTATCCTTCCCCTGCCACACCCACCAAGCCACACCCACAGATCCAGTAGTAAAAATTTTTTGAATCCTACCACTGGGCCACACCCAAGCTTCGTTTTTGCTGGCAAAGGCACCACTGTTTCCAGAGTGGCCCCGCAGGCCACATCTAAACACTCTGAGGGCTGGATTCGGCCTGTGAGCCTTGAATTTGTCACCCCGGCGTAGCACTTAGAAAGGTTTCCTTAAATTTACATTACAGGTAGTCATCGATTTACAACTGTCTTTTTAGTGACCACACTGCACTGAAAAATGTGACTTATGACTGTTTTTCACTTGTGACCATTGTAGCCTTCCCAGAGTCAGACACTTGGCAACTGACTCATGTTTATGACAGTTGCAGTGTCCCTGGGTCATTGTGATCCACTTTTGCGACCTCCTGACCAGCAAAACCAAAGAGGAAGACTTAACCATGTTCCCAGTATAACAGCTGCTGTGATTCACTTAACAACTGTGACATGAAAGGTCGTAAAACGGGCCAAAACTCACTCAACAAATGTCTTGCCTAGCAACAGCAATGTTGGGTTCAATTGTGGTTGTAAGTTGAGGACTACCTATATGGTTTTAGTGTATTTTTTTTCTTTTGTTTTTAATTGTTACCACCCAGACATCCATTTGGGTTACTGTGCAAATTTAATAAATTAATATTTGTCAGAGTATATTCATGAACTGGAATAGAGCATGGTAACAAGGTCAGCCAATGAATAGGCATAGCAACTAAGTCAGCCAATGCGAACTGTTTGGAAACTGAAACTAAAAGTAGCATAGGTGTGGCTCTATATTAAGCTCTGCAGCTATGCTGAGCTCTGAGTCTGTCTATTGAAAATGAAACTGCTTCTCTCCTCTGCTGTGTATAATGCTTACTACTGAAGTTACTTGCAACATGTTTCTGTCTGAGTTTGCTCCAGGGGTGGGATTCTACCAGTTCTCACCTATTCGCTAGAACCGGTTGTTAACATTCTAAGCAGTTTGGAGAACCGGTTGTTAGAAGAAATTCCTGGCCTAATCCTGTCAGGAAGGCAGGAAGGAAACATTCTGGTGTTGCTTACAGAAACTGCCTCTCTGTTAACCCTTGTTACATTCTTGGCAGGACTAGACTTCCTGTCTCAGGAACTTCTCTGGAGTTTTCTTTCCCTCCTTTGCTGGTATTTTGCTTGTGTGGAGTGACCATTCAACGTTACAATGACACTGAAAAAAGTCACTTATGACCATTTTTCACACTTACAACTATTGCAGCATCCCCACTGTCACGAGAGGCCAGGCGAGGAGATGCATGCCTCAATGTGAGTGATGTTGAGTTGGCCACACCCAGCCAATCACATTAACACCAAGCCATGCCCACCAACTAAGCCACACCCACAGAACCTGTTAAAAAAATTTAATCCTACCCCTGGTTTGGAGAAATCTACAACTTTCTAAAATCTACTTATTATGTTTATAAAGATGTTAAATGAAACATTGGCCATCAGCGTTTATTTTTCTGGCACTGAATTAACGCAGCAAAACTCTGAATAATATTGTGCTTTTTTTAAGGAAAAAAAAACAGACCAGAGGATTAACAGTACAAATAAACAGCAGGAAGAGGCAGTTGAAAAATGGGGCAGTTGAAACGGATCAGTCAGATTGATTTTTTTTTTTAAATGTCATATTCTGAAAAATGAATTTTATTTCCTTTTATTTCTCTCCTCTCCTTCTTCTCCTCAGGAGCCTCAGTTCTCTTCCTAGCCAGCTTCTGAGCTTGGTATGGATAATGGTAGAGCGGTGGAAGCTCAAGTAGGCTTAAAACAGAAAGATGCGGAGGTCAGAGTCCATGGACGTATTCTTCCAGAGGTGAGCAGTTTGTGTCTTGCTGTGTCATAACTGTACTGGCCATGAAGCAAGTCAGTACAGGTAATCCTCAACTTACAACAATTCCATTCGAAGTTACAACAGCACTGAAAACATGACTTAAAATGTCCTTCACGCCTACGGTCATTGCAGCATCCCCATGAGTGTGCGATCAACATTCAGATGCTTGGCAATTGACTCGTGTTTATGATGGTTGCGGTGTCTCGAGTTCATGGGATCACCTCCTGCGACCACCTGACAAACAAAGTCAATGGGGAAGCCAGATTCACTTAGCTGTGATGACCCTGGGCATGGCACAAAAGCAACAAAGTCACAAAAGGAGGTAGAGTCCCTTTAATTCCTCCAACTTGGCACCCAATGTCCAATTATCATCGAAAGAAAAAACTCTCCCAAGAACAGTTTTTAAAGGGAAGAAAGTCAGTCCGAACCCAAAGTACATCTAAATTATAAATAAAAATCAACACAAACCATGCTGTAGCAACTAACAAGTCAGGGCAGGATAAGGAATTGCAGACTTCAAAAGATAACGAAACACACACAGTTGGGAGGACACCAGAACTCAGAGAAGACTTGACAAGCCAAAATAATTCACGCTTTGCTTCCAGCAAAGAGCTGTGCGCAAACACCTTCTTTATCCTGCTTTCCCAGCTGCAGCTAATGAAGGTAATCAGGGCCCTTTTCTCCCCTGTAACCCACGTTGCTCCCTTATCCGTTCCTCCCTGCGTGCCCTAGGATGAAGAGGGAGTGGGCCTGTGCCTTCCTCTGAATGCCCAGCCGGACTGTGCCCTTCCCCAGTTTCCTCCACAGCGACCGGAGCCACACTCCCACTCCCTGTCAGCTGTTCCACCTCTACCTCAGAGTCAGATTCCAACAGGGGCATGACACGTAGCAATCGGGTTAGTAACTCAACAACTGCAGTGATTCCCTTAACAACGGTGAGAAGAAAAGTAGGGTAAAACTCACTTAACAAATGTCTCACTTAGCAACATAAATTTGCGGCTCAGTTGTGATCGTAAGTTCAAGGATTACTTGTAAAAGTCAAATGAGCAACAAGCTTAAAAGCAGCAGCAAAATAACATTTTTTAAAAAAGTCGGTATTTGCCATTACTGAAAAGGCTTTGGAAATTCAGTGTTGATGTCCAAAGCATTGCAACATGGAAAATGGCTCCTGAACAAAGAGATAGAAGCCAATGCAATGTACAGGTAGCTCTTGATATACGACCACAATTGAGCCCAAAATTTCAGTTGCTCAGTAATACATTTGTTAAGTAAGTTTTGCCCCATTTTATTGCCTTTCTTGCCACAGATGTTAAGTGAATCACTGCAGTGGATAAGTTAGTAACACGGTTGTTAAGTGAATCTGGCTTTCCCCATTGATGTTGCTTGTTAGAAGGTTATAAAATGTGAACACTTGTCAGCTTTGGAAGCCATCTTGAGATTCGATGCCCCCACGCTGCCACAAGCCTGAGAAAGTGGGGAGGGGGGGATTCAATGGAGTATCTCTTAAGTAGACAAAATGATGGCTTATTGTACCCTATGACTATCATTAAGTGTTGGACTTTATGATTCTTGACAAATGTTATCTTTTCTTTTATGTACACTGACAGCTTATTCACCGAAGACAAATTCCTTGTGTGTCCAATCACACTTGGGCAATAAAGAATTCTACTCTACTCTACTCTATTCTATAAGACTCTTTTGTTAGTTCAAGGTCATTGAGTATGGCGCAAAATGAAATAAGAATCTTATTTTAGGACGGATCGTGATTGGGCCATGTAATGGATGGATTTTGGCCAAGGTGGGCGGATGGATTTGTTGTTTTGAATATTGCAAGGAAGCCCGAAACTTTCAGATTTGGGATTCCGCAGATGGGCCAGTTACTATCTAAATAAAGCAATCTTTAAGAGATGTCTGTCTCAGAGTTATGGGCTGGAAAGGAGGGTTGCTGGAACGTTGACTAACACCGGACTCAGGCACACTGCAAAACCATCATAAATATGAACCAGTTACCAAGTATCTAAATTTTTATCATGTGGTCCATAGGGATGCTTCACTGGTCCTAAGTACAAAAAAGAAACAGTCATAAGTGGCTTTTTTCAGTGCCATTGTAACTTTGAATGGTCATTAAATGAACTGTTGTAAGTTGAGGACTACCTGTATGTCATCATCTCTTGTTCCTCTCTTGTGGTTTGAATCCTGGGAGTACAAGTTTCAGTGTCCGACTCTTACTCTATATCAGGGATCTCCAACCTTGGCAACTTGAAGATTTGTGGATTTCAACTCCTAGAATTCCCCAGCCAACATGGCTGACTAAGGAATTCTGGGAGTTGAAGTCCAGAAGCCTTAAAGTTGCCAAGGTTGGAGACCTCTGGTCTACATGAATGAGTCTCTGAGTTTGCTCTGTTTTTTGTTTTGTTTTGTGCATCCCAAATGCTGCTGAAGACCCAGACTCGGGTCAGTTGAAGACTTACTGGCTGCATTCATGTCACATGCAGAGCTTGTTTGGGTTATACCCTTGATTAGGTATTTTGTGACTTAGCATGCTAAGCAAACCCTGCCTGTGTCATTGTAATTCATTAATCCAGTGGAAAGTCTTTGTGTAAACGATTAAGTATTCCCGTTAGAAAATATTGTGCAAAGTTCTGCTACCAGCTTAAAAGTAAAGGAAGCTTATCACTGACTTCCAGTAAAAAAGAACATGTCTACCATTGCTTACGAGAGAGAAAGCCCTTGCTGCTATTTTTCTGTTGCATGATTCAGTCTCTTAACATGTTCTGATTTTTTCGGTTCCAGAGTGCTGAAGAGAAGAAAAGTGTGATCAACTCCCTGGTGTCTGGGGCATTGGCTGGTGCTGTGGCCAAAACAGCCGTGGCACCGTTGGACAGGACGAAAATAATTTTCCAAGGTACACATGAGATTAAGAGGGATCTTCATATCTTTCTCAGTTACGGGAGCAATTCTAGTTTCCTTTAAATCAGTGTTTTTCAAATTCGACAATGTTAAGATGTGTGGACTTCCACTCCCAGAATCCTTGGTGGTAGCCTGGCAGTTGAGGAATTCTGGGATTTAAAATCTGTAGATCTGCATGGTCCCCAAATTTGAACAAACAACTGCATTTATTCCTGGCTTGTCATTGCTCTAACCAGCTTGGAAGCCAGATTTGACTGCTGCCTTTAGGGATTTGAAGAATGTCCTCTTAAGACTAAATATTCTCACTTCCTTCCCACTTTATTTGCAGGACTTGGTTTTTGATCTCTTCTATCCTCTCAGTCTGTTCTAGTTGTCTGACTCCTCCTTAAAATATGGAAACCAGGGTTGGACCTACAGTTTGAGGTGGGATTCTGATTAATGTAGAATAGAGACAAATTTGAGTTCCTCCTGTCGACATTCATAAACTCCCAGAATTCCCAAGCTACCGTGACTGGAGGAGGAATTCTGGGAGTTGAAGTCCACAAGTCTTAAAGCTGTCAAGTTTGAAGACACCTGCTGCAGGCTAATGTGGACCTGTTGAGGCATTAGATGCCAATTCACAAAGGCACCCAAAATGGTTCTCTTCCTTGATTGGGGTGTTCCAAACCAAATGTAAAATATGCTGATTTGTGGCATGGATTAGTCTGCCCATAGGTTTCTTAGCTGCAGTGCTGATGTGTGCATGACTTATTCTTTTCGTTCTGTTTTCAGTGTCGTCGAATAGATTTTCTGCTAAGGTAAGGTGAAACATCCTTCTCTTTTCTAAGGTTCATTGCAGATTGAGCAGTTGGGAAGGATTAAATCTCACTGAATTGCTTCCATGGGTAGCTGGCTCTCAGCTTAAAACCCCTCTCCTCTGCCCCTCCTTCTAGCCTCTTAAGAGACAGTGGAAATTAGTCAAAACAGTGCTACTTTAAAATGGTAGGCACATGTATGTGCCATGGTGGTGCGGTGGTGAGAATGCACTCTTGCAGGCTACTTCTGCTGACTTGCTGATTGCCAGTAGTCAGTTCAAGTCTGACCAGCTCAAGGTTGACTCAGCCTTCCGCCCTTCCGAGGTGGGTAAAATGAGGACCCAGATTGTTGGGGGCAAGAGTCTGACTCTGTAAACTGCTTAGAGAGGGCTGTTAAAGCACTATAAAGTGGTATATAAGTCTAAGTACTATTGCTATTGCTAAGGAAAGGATTAGGGGGAGAAAAGCCATGGTGGCGCAGTGGTTAGAATGCAGGCAAATTCTGCCGACTGCCAACAGTTCGATTCTCACCGGCTGAAGGTTGACTCAGCCAGGGCTGCAGTAGAAGATAAGTATTAGAGTTGAAAATGGGTGGTTTCTAAATGCTGCGCGCGCTCACTAAACCATTTGTTACACCGGTTGAGTTTCACCACTGGTCACACCTAATGCAGCTCCTCCTCTGTCTAGGAGGCCTACCGGCTGATCTATCGTACCTACCTCAGTGAAGGCTTCTTCAGCCTATGGCGAGGCAACTCGGCCACCATGGTTCGGGTAATCCCTTACGCTGCCATCCAGTTCTGCGCACATGAGGAATATAAGCAGCTTTTGGGCAGCTACTATGGCTTCCAGGGAAAGTAAGTTGCTGTGGAGCCTCAGTCTCCTGAAAGACCTTGGCCCGAGCATGTGGGGAAGACGTTGTCAGGGGCAAGAAGTCAGGAACCAGACCAGAGTTCAGGTTTACTCCATGTTACCCATACACAAGAATCTGAACTACTCACAGGCAAGGCAAATTTGTGCCAGATAACCATCATCAGACTTCAAAGGGGGCTGGACTTAGGTCTTTGTGGTTTATAATTTGTGATTCATTGCTTAGCCTGATGCATGAATCCTGCCAACTGTACTTTTTGTGGCAATGGAACACAGCCAGAGTTTTGGAATGAGCAATGTTCAGTTTGGAAGCTTTTTTGCCCAGTCTCAGTGGTATTTAGGAGCCAACAACCAAAGAAATTCTCCTTTTCAAATATTACTTCTTTTGTTTCAGGGCGCTCACCCCTCTGCCTAGATTCATCGCAGGCTCTATGGCAGGGATCACAGCTGCCATGCTGACGTATCCCCTGGACCTGGTCCGTGCCCGTATGGCAGTAACGCCGAAGGAAATGTAAGTAGTGAGGAAAGGACGTGAGGTGTATTCTTTAACTATTATTGTTCCTGAAAACCTGCATAGTGAAAGGTTGGAGCACAAACTTCATCCAAATGAAGACTTGCTTTGATCACTTCCAAAGCCAAGAAAGTTTCGCCAGTTATGACCAAAAGAGATCGTTTCTTCCGCAAGGCGTCCTTCCACTCCAAGACTGTAATTGGTTCGATAATTCACTCATCCATAAAATGGTTTGTTTGTTCATGGTTTACTTGGTGAACCCTTCAAATATCTTAGGGATGTACTAATCACAATGACAAAAATATATATTGACAAGACTGTAGTGGAATGTAGTCTGGATTCCCAGGAGGGAGGGATAAGGGTGGTTTACCACATTCGCCCATTGCAGTCCTCTTGTACACACAAAAGATTCAGCCTACCCTAATAAAAACCAAGATGACAAACATGGCCAGCCGGCCAACACATTTAAATTCCCCACCCTTAGGAGATTCCTTAAAAATATATCCTGCAACTGGGAGAGCCATAAATCTTTAAGACTTTATCATCCGTCCCATTGGTGTAGGCAGAAAAATAAACAAACAAACTCCTGGGACATTGTTTTACCAAGAGTATAACTTTACTGATAGATCCATATAGGCACAGTAGAAAGCAAAGCCAGCTCTGACTTTTAGTGAGAAAAACTGCATAGATAAAATCCCCCTTTCTCCCCCTGGGCCGCCCATTGTCCAGTGTGTCCACCAAGCCAGTGCCACCTCTTTGTTTTGGGAAACAGTCTGCTCGGCTGAAAAATCTCTCATCCTTCGATCTTGAACTGTCGAGATTGTCCTAGGCCACAGGCGGTGCACATGGATTCCTTAACTCCTTCCCAGCCACCCATACATTCCAACCATTCCTCCCCACCCCCTGGTTTCTGTTGTCTGTCTGTGAGCGAAAGTGCAGAGCGCATCGGCCTTGACATTTCCCCTGCGAGCTTCTTTCTAACTTTTATCTGATGTTGTCAGGATTCTAGTCCATAAGGCAACCTTATTCCATTTTTCCTTGGCAGGTACAGCAACATCATTCACGTATTTATGCGGATATCTCACGAGGAAGGATTGAAGACCCTGTATAGGGGCTTCTCACCTACCATCTTGGGGGTGATCCCTTATGCTGGATTGAGCTTCTTCACTTATGAGACACTGAAGAAGCTGCACGCAGGTAAGGACCATCAAGCCAATATGAACATATTGCAGGTAGCCCTCAACTTGTTTGTTTGGTGTCCATTCAAAATTAACAAGAGCATTAGAAAAAGAAATGACTTACAACCGGCCCTTGCACTTATGACCATCACAGTATTCCCATAAACACATGATTATCATTCAGACGCAACTGGCATGTATTTACAGTGGTTGCAACATCCTGGAGTCAAGGTGATGCCATTTGTGACCTTCCCAGCTGGCTTTCGACAAGCAAAGCAATGGGGGAAGCCAGATTCGCTTAACGACTGCGTGATTCAACAACCGCAATGATTTTCTTAATCACGGCGGAAAAAGTGGTAAAATTGAACATGACTCACTATCTAGCCTCAGAAATTCTGCTTCCAATTGTCATAAATTGGGGATGACCAAACTGACAAACAACTGATTTTGGACCAAGCATGTCATTTAAAGCAAACTTATTAACTTAAAGGAATTCTTAATGTTAGATGTGATCCGACTACAGTAATTTTATATGGGATTAGACCAAATCCACAGAAATGGAATTCTGTGAAAGGGAATCAGAAGGAACCAATCAGGGTGAAACTTTGTTACTGTGTTTCCCAGACAATAAGACCCTGTCTTATTATTTTTGCCACCCAAAAAGGCACCAGGTCTTATTTTCGGGGGATGTCATCCACTGACTATCCTCATTTGCACGCATCACCCACGGCCTCCTTTTCACTGTCAGAGGCCTTCAGGAACTACTTCTGTGGCCAGAAAGGTTTTCCTGAAGGCCTTTGCAGCTGATAAACAGAGCTCTGGATCGATCCATAGCTTTGTTATCAGTTACCTTCAGGAAAGCCTTGCCAGCAGCAGAATTCTGGGAGTTGAAGTCCACAAGTCTTAAAGTGGCCAAGGTTGGAGACCCCTGAGCTAGATGACTATAAAGGTAGAATAAATGAAAGAAATTTTGGAATAAAATAAGGATCTGGTTGCAAGAAATAGTTGGTTTAAAAATAGAACTTAAGCCTGAAATGTTCTTGCTAGGGATAACCAGAGGTGAATATAAGGACATTGAATATATAATAATACAGCAGCTAGAATAACGTATGCCTAAAGTTGGAAATTAGAGAGCAGCCCCATAGATGATATGATTATAAAGAAAATTATGGATTGTGCAGAAATGAATAAACTTACAATGGAAATGCAGGAGAAGGAAGAAAAAGAATATTATATAGTCTGGGGAAAATGGTATGTTTGGTTAGATAACAGGAATAAAAGATAATGCAAAATGTAAATGTAAATGATGTATGTGAGTAAATGAAAATGGAAAAGTCGATGCCACAACTTACTGCAAAAATTGTATATATGATTTGTTTTTTTAAAGGTGAAAAAATTGAATAAAAAGTATCTTAAAAAAGAAAGGTGGGATACAAACAAACATGTTCAGAATTTTGCAGCGTAAATTCAGCACCAGGAAAATAAACACAGATGGCTAATAGCTTCATTTAATGTCTTTATAAACATATTAAGTAAATTTTACAATACCAGTTGTAGATTTCTCCAACAGGGAGCAAACTCAAACAGAAGCAGACATGTTACAGGTTCAGAGCAAAGCAGCAACTCAACTCCAGCAGACAAGCAAGCTAGTTTTAATACAGACACAGAGCTTAATATAGAGCCACGCCTAGGCTACTTCTAGTTTCAATTTCCACGCAGTCCTCATTGGCTGACTTAATTGCTATGCCTAGTCATTGGCTGATCTTGTTACCATGCTCTGTTCCATTAATATACTCTGACAATACAAACATAAATAAATACAAGCATCCGTTTGTCGTCTTTCTAAGCACCTCCACCCTTCCTCCTTTTCTTCCTTTCTTTCTTCCTCTCTCCAGATCACAGCGGGAGGAGAGAACCCTACCCCTTGGAAAGGCTAGCGTTTGGGGCTTGTGCAGGCCTGATCGGGCAGTCGGCCTCTTACCCTCTGGACGTGGTCCGTCGGCGGATGCAGACCGCAGGGGCGCTGGGCTACTCCTACGGGTCCATCCTCCTCACCATGAGGGACATCGTTCGGGAAGAGGGGCTCGTCCGAGGCTTGTACAAAGGGCTCAGCATGAACTGGGTCAAGGGTCCCATCGCCGTGGGCATCAGTTTCACCACCTTTGACCTCATGCAGATTCTCCTCCGTAAATGGGAGCGCAGGGTGAATGTGCAGAGGTAACGCCAAACTTGCCGCCCGTGCGAGGGCTCCTTGTGGAGAGTGAGCGGCCACCACGGTGGCGCCAGTCGGTGCTGACGAACGAGGATGGACAAATCTTCCTTTTTTTTTTCTTTTAAAAAAAATCCCCATTCCCTGATCCCAGACGAGATTCTCACGGTAGATCTGAATGACCTCGGAGAATTTGGTTTCAGGCGCAACACAGATTCCTCTTTAACTGTGGCCTATCTCCTCTCCGGTTTCCAGATAATGAATGTGCAAAGAAAGAATAGTAGAAGTCAGTGCAGGATTTTCACTGTTTTTACGATGGGATCTACACATCCCTGAATTCTCCAAGTTAGGGGGAAAAAGGGGGTCGCTTTCACTGCTAGCCTCGTAACAGGAGGCAGCAGCGGATGTGGTTTTATCTGTGTCAAACGTTCCCTCCCCCCATTCTTCCCATTCTCCTTTTATTTTTATTTTTTCCCCCCCACAACTCTCCTCACATATCATTTACCTCTTGGAAGTGCAATGTCAGGTTGGGGTGGGAATATTTTACCATAGAGTTGACTTTAAAAAAAAAAAAAAGGACACTTCCTCTGGCATTTTTTGGGGTTGCTGGAAACCAGGAGGTCTTACATCAACAGTGGTTCACCTTGTTGCTTTCCAGAGCAGCATTTAAATAAAGGATTTTGTGTTTTGTTTTGTTTTTCAAAGAAAAGAAAAGAAAAAAAAGCAGCAACAACAGCTCCCAGATAGGTTTTTCCCTTTCCATTGGAGATGGTTCACTCTGGGGAAAAAACATTACCAGTGCACAGTGTTAACTGGAAACGCTTGCTGTCTTGATATGCTATCCATTTTCATTTCTTCAGTATTATCCATGTTATTTCCTCAGTAGGGAAAGGAACTTGAAAGGATTATGGCTCTTTTTCTGGCTCTTTTTCTCTGAACCCTCCGTGTGCTTCGTGTGTTTTTAAGAAATTTGCTTGCTTGAAATTGGAGGGAACACACCTGTTGGCAAAACCAGCAGCCTCATGTTGTAACCTCCTTCCTAAATAGTATCATTTCACTACTTATTTTTCCTTTTCCTCTTTTCCTTTGCTGTTGCTTGTCAGAGTGGAGAATACCATTGTGCCACGTTGGGCAAACTTGCTGTGGCAGCTTACGTATTTCCTGCATTTAGGTGTCTTTTGGACAGTTTTTTGCTGCTTTTTGCTCTTTTTCTCTTGCCTGTTTTCTGCTTTATCCAACTTTAAGGCCACTTCGGTTTGGGGTGGCGGGGATAGCAACGGATTACCCCGATACGATTCTCAAGTCCTTCCCTTCTGGCTAAACGCAAGGGTGGGGGGACTGTGGCCCTTTTATGACTTGTGGACTTCAACTCCCAGAATTCCTGAGCCAGCATGGCTCAGCTTAGGAATTCTGGGAGTTGAAGTCCGCCAGTCATAAAAGGGCCACAGTCCACCACCCCTGAGCTAAAGGAAGAAAGAAGGAATGGTGTGTGTGACAGGAAAAAAAAATGGGTCTGTGGCAAGGCTAAATAAAAGACACTTGGTTCTGAACTGACATTGATCCTTCCCCACATGCTGGAAACTTTGACTCTTGACATTTTGTGGGCCACAAATATTTTGTGGTGATCTACATGCACTACACCCCTCCACACACAGCATCCTAATTGTTCTGTATATGGCCCTAGAAATTCTACAACGTCGTCACTTGTTGATTCTTTGCAACGTCGGTAATCGAATTTGATTTCTGCAAAGGGGTTCAGAATCTTAACGGAAGCTTTTGTTATCGTAAAGCATTTTTCTGCGTTTGAGATTCTGTAAGCGTCCCCCACCCGACCCCCGGAAACCATATTTTTTTTAAAGAGGCAGACTCCAGAATGTGATGCGGAGGCGTTGTGCACACAAAACACGTTGACTGTGAAGGAAGATAGGTGAGCAGCCTCAAGGCTGCTAAGCTGCCAACGTGCACAAGTCAAATCACAAATCAATAAATGTGAAAGATGTCTCAAATTGAGACTTATGAATATAAAACTCAGCTCTTAGAAGAAGGCTTTTCTCCTCTTCCCCTGTCCACTGCTTCAGCTTGGTTGCCAATTTAGCTTGCTTTTTTTAAAACCTGCTTTATATACTTAGCATTGCACCACTTACCTTATGGCAGAGATCTCCAAACTTGGCAACTTTAAGACTTCTCCAGCCAGCTAGAGAATTCTGGGAGTTGAAGTCCACAAGTCTTAACGTTGTCAAGTTTGGGGATCCCTGCCTTATTGTCTTGCAGAGCCTCTTGGCCAGAAATGTTAGCCACTATCGCAAACATCCCCTGGTCATTGTAATCAAATCAAATTCATTGGGGTATATTGGACATTTAACTGGGGAAACCTGCTATAATGGGGATTAGTTACCTATTTGTGTGGGGCTAGTGTGGGTCTTCCTTGTTCCCCAACATCCGCTCAGCTGGAGCACTTTACCAAGGCAAGCTCAGCAGTGTGTTTTTCTCTCGTCTGCACATTCCTAAGGTCACAGTGTCTAGACCAGGGGGGGGTCTTCAAAACTTGGGAACTCTTTAAGACTTGTGGACTTCAACTCCCAGAATTCCCATGGCTGGCTAGGAATTCTGGGAGTTGAAGTCCACAAATCTTAAAACAGTTGCCAAGTTCAAAAATCCCTGGTCTGGAGCAGAGGTGGGGAACGAAGAAGGCCCCTTTATAGCTTCTGGACTTTCAACTCCCAGAATTCCTGAATTCTGCAAATTGAAGCTCACAAGTCATAAAAAGGCCATCATTCCCTACCCCTGGTCTAGAGTAGGTTTTTTTTTTTTTTCAAACCTGGCAACTTTAAAATGTGTGGACTCCCAGAATTCTCCAGCCAGCGTCCTGGAAGTCCATACATCTTTAAATCGCCAGGTTTGAAAAACACTGCTCTAGAGTAATAGTAGTTCAAGGGCAGGTTGGCCTCCCTTCCTTGGAGCCTAGCCAGGGTTTTCCTCGCTCTAATAATACTTTGAAAAGGTCAATACTAACCGGTCGCCCTAAATGGCACCTTTCCTGTAGCTGCCATCCTTCCTGTGCTGAGCAAGGTGATTTTTAGCAAATGTTCAATGCCGTTTTCCTAGGGTAACAGGTCAGTTAGTTCAGGGGTCTCCAACCGTGGCAACTTTTAAGACTTGTAGACTTCAACTCCCAGAGTTCCTCAGCCAGCTTTGCTGGCTGAGGAACTCTGGGAGTTGAAGTCTACAAGTCTTAAAGTTGCCACGGTTGGAGACCCCTGTGCTAGTTGACTAGTGTCTTTGCTGTATTTGAATGTGCCTTTGAAAGGTGTTGTGTGGGCCTCTTAAGCAGAACAGGAGTGCTCTTGTTGGGCACGGGGAGCTATTTTTTGACAAGTAAAACAGTGGGGAAACAGGATGCCTTTCCTCGCAGGGGTTTCTCCCTTTTCACCTTTACAGAGGTCTTCTCCAGGGGATTGTCTGGAGAAACCCCCTTCATTGTAGAAAATCCATGGTGTGTTCCAGGCGGGGCTGTTCCCCGTTGCTTTGTGCAAACAACAGTATATATGATTGCAAAGCCACAAGATGTTTCCCCGGTGAGGGTTGCGTGCCCACGAGCAGTGTTTCGAAGGAAAGTGAGCTAGCCACTAAAGTATTTGGCACCACCGCACAGCCAAGTATTACAAAGGTTGACTTTGGAGTGCTACTGAAGCCTTGGGGACAAAGGCGTTCTACGGCGTAACGCGTCCGTGCAGAACATTAAACACAACAGCCTCAGCTGAAGAGATGTTCTCTGCATTGTGGCTTTTTATCTGGCCAATGATACTTTTGTTTTATATAGATGTTTATAGTGACATAATTATAAAATCTGTGCCAAGGGGAGGAGGTATATTTAATAATAAAAAATGAATTATCCAGTTTGCGGTGTACGTTGTGTCTTTCTTTTGTCTAATTGTATAGAATTAGACGGCATCAGAGGTGGTATTTAGCAGGTTCTAACCAGTTCTTGAGAACCGGTAGCGGAAATTTTGAGTAGTTCGGAGAACCGGCAAATCCCACCTCTGACTGGCCCCGCCCCCATCTCTTCTCCACCTCCCGAGCCTCAGCTGATTGGCTGGGTCTTCTTTGGTTGCCCTGCGCAGGAGAACAGAGCTGGAAAGCAGGTTAGTGGGGTGGGGAGGGAAGGGGTTTTTTATCCTTCCCCTGCCACGCCCACCAAGCGACATCCACAGAACCAGTAGTAAAAAAAATTTGAATCCCACCACTGGGTGGCATTATTAATATAAGTATATCCCCAAACCTTTTTGATGAGCACAACTAGTAACAGAATAAGAGAACTGGAAGGGACCTTGGAGGTCTTCTAGTCCAACCCCCTGCTTAAGCAGGAAACCCTGTACCATTTCAGACAAATGGCTGTTGTATTATTTCCTGAAAAGCCTCCAGCAATGGAGCATTCACAACTTCTGGAGGCAAATCGTCCCAATGAATTGTTCTCACTGTTGGGAAATTTCTCCTGATTTCTAGGTTGGTTCCCATCCATTGCTTCTCGTTCTGCCTCTTGAAACTCTTCCTTCCCCAGAGGGGGATGTTACTCCAACCACTAATTCATAGCTGAACTGTTGAATCAGCTCCACACAATCTATTAAAGCTATAAATGCAGGTAATCCTCAACCTATGTCCATAACGGAGCCTGCCTATTGCGGTCATATATTGTGACAGTTGTAAAACAGATTGATCGGGTGACTGCCCCGATTTCGCTATTTTTTTTTTTTGCAGTGGTCGTTAAGCAAACAGGTCATCAACCAAATACCAGTCGTTAAATGAACACCGTGGTCATTAAGTGAACCCATTGTTTGTTCTGACATGTCTTTGCTGAAAACTGGAAGTAACCTCTGGTTTTCACAAAACTGTTGTAAAACGCAGCCGCGTTGCAGAGCAGTCTTATCTCTCATTTCTGGTAAGTGATAACTTTGGATGCTAAGCAATTGGTTCTAAGTCGAGAACTAGCTGTATGTTCCGTCTGTTTGGCTGTGGCATGAAATGCAGGCCCGATCATTTGAGGCTTACTCAGTAACCAAAATTAAGCAAGCCATGCAATCATCTTTGATTATCCAAAAGGTGCTTAAGAGCTAACTAGACTTCAGTTTCACTTCTCATCCAAGAAACTTCTTCAGTTCTAAATAAACATCTTCAACGAAGAAGGAAGTCCAGTTGTCCCTTGAAAAAGCCCCTTTGGGACAATCACGACCTGGATGACCGAGAATCTCCAGACTTTCTCTCCCGTTAGGTCTGGCCCTCTTTGTATCATTATGTATTTTATGTCCCATTATTTGTAAGATCTTTTTAACATTTTTTCTCAAAAAAAGAAGAAGATATATATAGTGTTTAAATTAATGTGCATCTGGAATCCTTGGTTGAATAGAAAAGGAAATTTCTTTCTCTTACCACCATATACCCTGATTGTGGAAAACTTACATTAACTTACTGAAATGTCTCATCACTCAAATCTGCTTATGGACAAAGATAGTTCTGTTATTTTTGTACGTTTCACTTTCATCTGTATCAGATAGTATTCTAACTGGAGCCAGTTTTGTAAAGCACCAGGCTGGAAACCAGGAGACTGGGAGTTCTAGTCCTGCCTTACGCATGAAAGCCAACTGGGTGACTTTGGGTCAATCACCAGGAGACTGTGAGTTCTAGTCGTGCCTTAAGCATGAAAGCCGGCTGGGTGACTTTGGGTCAATCACCAGGAGACTGTGAGTTCTAGTCCTGCCTTAAGCATGAAAGCCGGCTGGGTGACTTTGGGTCAATCACCAGGAGACTGTGAGTTCTAGTCCTGCCTTAAGCATGAAAGCCGGCTGGGTGACTTTGGGTCAATCACCAGGAGACTGTGAGTTCTAGTCCTGCCTTAAGCATGAAAGCCGGCTGGGTGACTTTGGGCCAATCACCAGGAGATTGTGAGTTCTAGTCCCGCCTTAGTCATTAAACCAGCTGAGGTGACTTTGGGCCAGTCCCTCTCTCAGCCCAACCTACTTCACAGGATTGTTGTGGAGAAAATAAGAGGATGAAGGAGTATGGGGTCTGTTCACTAACTTAATGTATACAAATAATAGAGGAAGATTTTTTTAAAAAATAAAGCTAATCTCTGAAAAAAAAATGCTAAGCAAAGGAGAAGTGAAAGGTTGTTCATTGTTCATATTTCAACTTTGCTCCTGAATGTTTTTAAGCCATAAGATCTGGAAAAAAAATTTTTTAATCAAAGCTGATCAAGACACCCCCTTCATTTTATCTCTTTTGGGCTAGTGTGGAAGATGCATATCCAGTCCACTGTGATTGGTCTTTACAAAACAGCAGGACTTGAATTCGGCTGGTTTCTTCTAAGAGATGTCGCAAGAAAAATC